GATGATGCATAAGTTAGCAGAAAGTTACAACTAAAAATAACACAAAGGAAAAGGCGCTACAGAGATGGCTCTGGAATGACTGTGCACTTCTCTCACAGACTCAGAGTTTAACTCCCAGCACCCATCTTGGCAGCTCACAACTGCCTATAATTCCAACACCAGGGAGATCCAGGAGCACACACACGCATGTACACACTCCTAAAAATCTATAAAAAGGAGAGAGAAAGGAAGAGAATGAAGGGCGTTCTGTCAGATATACAATCCAGAACAATATTCTTACTGAAAGAAATAAGGTAACAATACCTGAAAATACAACCACGGGGGAAGGGGAAAAAAGTAAAAGACAGTGGTACTAAGTTGACTAGGCTGTTGTTGAACTCAGGACTGTGCTAGAGGGGGAGTAGGGGAGAGTGGGAGGGGGAGGGGAGGGAAGGGGAACTGTGTTTGGTATGTAAAATGAATAAAATGCTTTAAATAAAAAAAGGGGGGGAAAAACCCTTAATGGCCTTGAATTTTCAATCTTCTTACCCTACTAGTAGCTGGGATTAAAGGTCTGAGTAGCCAGTCCTAGCTACTTAATCTTTGGTTAACAATACTACTCACTCAGAAAGTATCTAAACATGAGGATTAATGAATATGCCTTGTGATAGTGATATCATGTCTATGAGGGACTGTTTCTCTTCACTCTGGGGAAAAGCTACAACTTCCTTTGTATCTTCTTAGCTAGAATATAGACTTGTCTCATTACTACTATAAATGTCAAACCCCTGCAAGAGCTAAGCAACCACACTGGACTGTTGCCGCATGCCGCAAGCTCTCCTTCAGCACAGCGCTGCTCTTCCCTCCCACCTTTGCTACCTGCTCTGTAGCTCAGGCTGGCCCCAAGTTGCACCTACCTGTCTTCCAAGTGCTGTGATTACAGATGTCCATCAGCATGCTCACTCATGTCACACTGCACTAATTAGTAAGTATACAAACATTCTCCTTTTAGTTTTTAAACAAGTGTCTTCTAATAAAGTCAACTGACTTAAGAGGGCATGCATCCTTGTGAGGAAGACAGAAATGTAGCTTAGTGGTACAGCACTCACTTAGCATTCACACGGTCCCAGATTTCAAAGGGTAGGAAAAGGAGATGTCAAAGAAATTCATCTGTATGTGGTACTATCATTGATTTATTCCTCCAATTTATTGTAAGATGAGTCTCCTGTCTCTGCCTACTGAGTCTCAGAATTACAAGACTATATACTATAGTCAAGTATATGCAAACCAAGAGATGGAACCCAAGGCTCCCTGCAGACAAGGCAAGACTCTGCCAACTGAGCCACATCCCCAGCCCTCACAGTTGTTTCTAACTGAATATAATTTTAGATAATAATTGTGAATACTCAGGCTGGAGAGATGGCTCAGAGGTTAAGAGCACTGACTGCTCTTCCAGGAATCTGAGTTCAATTCCCAGCAACCACATGGTGGCCTACAACCATCTACAATTCAATCTGGTACCCTCTTCTGGCATGTAGGCAGAACACTGTATATGTAATAATTGTAATACTTGTAATAATTTTCATATTTAAATAATAGTTTTGACTTTTCTACTGTGTCGGAACATTCACATTCAAACATTCAGCAGATACTACTAATAGTTCAAGTTATTTCACTAAATCTGTCACAAGCATTGTATGTACAACCTCATCAACTGTATAGTAACAACTCCTTATTAATTTTTTTTTGTTTGGCTACAAGGTCTCATGTAGCCTAGGTTTACATGGAACTCAGTATGTCACTCAGGTTGATCTATATCCTTCTGCTTCACCTTCAAAATTTGGGATTACAGGTATTCACTACCATGCCTAGCTTTCCCTCATCTTTTTTTTTCACTCCTCTGACACCATCAATTTTTAATCTATGTCCCTTAAAAGGCAAATAAATATAGAAGATAACATGGATATTGTCAAGGCAAAGTATCCCCTGATAAAATCAGCAACACCTCACCGGCAGGGGAGTCTTCTGGTCATTTATCCCTGGAGTGGTTCCAGCTCGTGTCAGTATCTATAGGCAGACACACAGGACTGGTCCTCCTTTAAGTAGAACTAGAACATTCCCCCAGGGAAATTGAGTCCTAGTTTAGATAGGGGAAACCCAAGGCAGTCTAAAAAACACTCAAAAGAGGCTTTGGGCCGGGCGTTGGTGGCGCACGCCTTTAATCCCAGCACTTGGGAGGCAGAGGCAGGTGGATCTCTGTGAGTTCGAGGCCAGCCTGGTCTACAAGAGCTAGTTCCAGGACAGCCTCCAAAGCCACAGAGAAACCCTGTCTCGAAAAACCAAAAAAAAAAAAAAAAAAAAAAAAAAAAAAAACAGAGGCTTTGACTATTTAGGATCAATAACATTTCCTAAGATTAATAACATAGGTGAAATTTTCTAGCCTGTTTGTTTCATTGTTGTGATTATTTTATTTTATAGGTATGAGTGTTTCGTCTGCATGTATGCCTGCCTACCACTTGTATGCCTGATTCCCCTGGAACTGGACTTAACAGATGGCATGAGGTGTTGTGCAGGTGCTAGAAATCAAGCCCAGGTCCTCTGCAAGAGCAACCAGTGTTCTTAACCACTGAACCCCCTTGTTTACTTAGATAGGGTCTTGCTATATAGCCTTGACTGGCTTTAAACTTGCAGCAATCCTCCTGCCTCTGTCTCCACCACCCAATTTCTGGGATAAGAGTTTGTGCACCACCAAAGAAAGTAAGTAAAATTACCGTCAAGCCTGGGAGTAACTAAAGGTTCTCCTCCTGTACTGTATAAATATAATTAGTCACTGCTTACCATCCTCTTTACCTCCTACGTCCCTCTCTTTCAACATGGCCATTCCCATACCCTGTCATTTAGTCTCAACTTAGAACTCACTTCTCTTGGGAGTGAGTGAATATGATCAAAATACATTATATGAATGTATTAAAATGTCATAATGAAACCCATTATTTTGTACAATGAATATATTCAAGTAAAAAGGTATATGGAACCATTATGCTGGGGGCTGGGGGAAGACAAATAGAGGAGAAGGAAGAAGGAGGAGGAGGAAAAGCACAAAGCCCAGAGAGGTGGCTGATTGTATAAAGGCATTTGTCACCAAGCCCAATGTTCCCTGAGTTCAATTCCCAGGCCCCATGATAGAAGAATGGACTCCAGTAGGTTATCCTCTGACCTCCACACAGCACAGCATACACACACATGCACTCATATGGACAAAATAAAATAGAGTTTAAGAAGTAAAAAGTTGGGGATGTAGCTCAGTGATAGAGCACTCATCACGGCCAAGGCTTTAGGTTCAGCAACCACCGTCTGTCTCTCTGTCTCTGTCTCTGTCTCTGTCTCTCTCTCTCTCTCACACACACACACACACACACACACACACACACACACACACACTTTTATTTCCTTCATGCACTCTCATATACCAATAGAATATATTAACTCAATAGAGTATATTAACTTCCAAAACTCTGATCAATTTGTAATGCATTTGTTCTGGGATTTAAGAACAAGCTTAGCAGGATTTCTTTCACTACCTGCCCCTTCCTTTGTAGTGCTGAGGATGAAACCCAAGGCCTCAAATATCCTAGGCACTCTACCCCTTCTCTCACTCAGCCATCAAAGCATCTACAGAAAAAAAAAATGTTAAAACGGGGGAAAAATAGCCGGGCGTTGGTGGCGCACACCTTTAATCCCAGCACTCGGGAGGCAGAGGCAGGCAGATCTCTGAGTTCGAGGCCAGCCTGGTCTACAAGAGCTAGTTCCAGGACAGGACAGCCTCCAAAAGCCTCGGAGAAACCCTGCCTGGGGGGGGGGGGGGAACGGACCACGGTGTAAAATGCCAACAAAAACACCCATCAAAACATACATAGAAATGAGGAGAAATACACACTAACAACATGACTGCTCAAGGTTCAAAGAATCTAAAAGACATCTCAAGTTCTCTTTAGGAGCCTTAAAGGGAACTGAAGAGATAAAGGGCTCATCAGTTAAGAGTACTTACACTGCCCTTCTAGAACCTGAGATCTGGTTCCCAACACCACACCAGGTGGCTCACAACCTCCTGTAACTCCAGCTCCAGGGACCCCCCATGCCCTTTTCTGACACCCCAGGGCAGTGCACTCGAAGACATAAACCCACACCCCATACATAAATACCTAATTTTAAAAAGTAATTAAAATTTAAATATGCTAAGTAAACAACGGAAATGCCTTAAAGAGGTCTGGGTTTACAGCTCAGTGGTAGAGAGCTTACCCAACATGAACAAAGCCCTAGATTCAATTGCCACAAGCACAAAAGCAAAACAAAGAAACTTTGAAGAGATCCTGGATACAAAAACACCCAATTTTATAACAATGAAGAAATTCTGATTTCACACCAAGAAGACATTAAATAACATTATTATTTTTTATTACCTTGATTAAAACATTACTATTAAGGTCTTACTGGGTGGATATCTTCATTTTTTAGAAGATGCATTACCCATTCTGTATAAGTATCATGTCTGAAATTCTCAACTTATCTCAAATACCTCGCCGTAAAATGTTATTTTATTTTTCCTTGGAAAAAGCCAATCAGTATTAGCCCAACAAAGCCTCCATTTTTTAAAGTCTGCAAGGAGGCACAGGCCTACAACGTTCAGACAATAGCTAACTATTTGGGCTAGGGTGTAGCTCAGCAGGAGAGTGCTTAGCATCGTGAGGTCCCGAGTTGCACCCCCACCAGCATCAACCAGAGTAACTTGTTATCCTTACTTTCTTCGACACAAAGAGATCCGTGTAGGGTCTACGTACGTTTATATTTACGTGTTGATAAATGCATCCTGCGTAAGTGTATAACAAAGTTACCTTCTTTTAAAAAAAATGTGATGTGTCTCAGGTAAACAGATGTTCCACGAAAGGTACATTTTCAGATAAAACGTTCCTCTCCACACGCACACAAAAAGAAGAGACTAAGAAAGGGCTGTCCTCACCCACCTTTCGGCCAAAGCTGGGCTGCAGCAGACAGAACCGCCCGGTCCGAGCCTGGACGATGCAGCGAGTGTCTCACCGTGATGCCAATGGCGGAAAGCCTGTTCTTTCGGGGTGGAGGAGAACAAGCCCACAAAGGTTACTCTGCACCGCCTCAGAAGAAAGGTGGGTGCCAATGGCTCTGCGCAGCGTCGGGATGCGCACTCGGGCCGCGGCCCCGGGAAGGGCTGCAGAACCCGAAGGACGCGCGGCGCCGCGGGCAGAGCCCGGCGCCTCCCCGCAGAGGCCTAGCTAGTCCTCTCCCTCCCGGGGCCGGCTCCCCGCACGCCCTCCCCAAATCCTCACCGAGCCGAGCGGAGCGCCCTCGGACGACCGCCGAGAAGGTCCCGGAGCCCCGAGAAAAAGGGGGGAGTCGGTGTGCGTGACGTCACTTCCGCTTCCGGCCCGGAGTTAGCGGCCACGTTGGATCCCGGCAGGCCCGAGAGAAAAGCTCGTTTGTTCCCGCGTCTGGGCGCTCGCTCCCCTCTTTTGGTGGGCTAGAAAGGGGAGCAGAGACTGGAACGGAGCCCCGAGGTCGAGGGCAGACGCGAGGCCTTGGAGGGCGAGCGGCGCGGGGGCGGGGCGAGGGGCGGGACCAGGCCGGGGTGCGCCGCGGTTGATGGCGGACCGGTGGGGCGAGGATGGGGGTGGGGACGCCCCGATGGAGATGCTGCTGACAAAAGCGTTTCTGTCGAGCCTCTCCCTCACGCTCGCGATGCCCGTGGCCATGTTGCATAATCTGCCAGCCCAGGAAAAAATGATCCGTCTGGTCCATTCAGTCACCGCGGTCTCCAGACACCTTTTTGTCAACCTGTTCTTTGTGCGCCTCTGGACACCGGGCCAGCACCTCCGCCCGCCGTGGATTTTGTCGTGTTTTCAAGATAAAGGCGCACACCTTGCACCACCACCCAGGGCTCAGTTTGTAAAACCCCTGCCTGGCATGCAGGAAGCCCTGGAATCCATCTCCAGCACGGTGAGAGAGTGCTCGCCTGTCCCAGTACTTGAGATGGTGACAAGAAAGAGGTTCAAAGCCAGCATCCGCTACATAGTAAATTCTAAACCAGTCTGGGATACAAGAACACCTGTCTCCAAAATCATAACTAAAATAAAAGTGGTCTTTTTGTAATTTCTGAGTCTTTTGAATTTTCTTTGTTTTTTTTTCCCCCCTCCATCTGATGTGACTTGGTTTGGGGCGTGGGGGAATAGGGGTGTGTGTGTGTGTGTGTGTGTGTGTGTGTGTGTGTGTGTGTGTGTGTGTGTGTGTTTTCCATGGAATCAGCGCATTTTGTAGCCTAAGCCGGCCTCACCTAGGCTGCCAAAGGTTAATTCACCCTCATGGTCTAAGTCTATGGCCACCTCCGGTGAAGCAGTGGGATAATGACATGCCCATGTTGGGGTTTGTGGGTTATATGGGTGCTAGTGTCTGTTATTAAGAAGTCTACCAACCGAGCTTCACCCCACCTCCCACCCAAGTGTGAAGTTTTTTTTATTTCTTAGAATTTACCAAATGAACCAGTCTTTCCTATTTTACAAAGTAATACTGATAGCATGCATTCTAAAGTTGTGCCTCAAGAATTTTCTTCTCTGGGTATCACTGAGTTTTCATTAGGTGGTCTGTGGGGAGTTATTGTGAACACTGATTTACTGGCACATTTTTTTTCAATAATTATTCATGAGGGCTGAGAATACAGTTTGGTGGTCAAGTACTTGCCCAGGACACTCAAGTCTCTAAGTTCAGTCTCCACTGCTGCACTTTTTCTTTTTCTTTCTCTTTTTTCTTTTTTTTTTTTTTAAGTTTTTCAGGAGCTGAAGAGGCTTCACCCATTAAGGGCACTTATGTTCTTCCTGAGGACAAGAATTCAGTTCCTAGCACCTACTTGATAGTACTCAAATTCCTGTAACTTCAGGTCCAGGAGGTTTTGTGCCCTCTTCTGGTGTCTGCAGGCACTCACACTCATGCACATATACACAAATAAATAATAAAAAATAAACCTTAAAAAGTTACCCATAGACATCCCTGCAGTTCCAACATACATCAGAGACTAAAGCAGCAGGATCAGGAGTTGGAGGATGCTTATTGAGTTCAAGACCAGCATGAACTACTGGATTATATTTCCATACATACAAACTGGTTGTACTAATTTGTATCACCAGCATCTCAGAGCACAATAAATGCCTCATTCCTTGAACGAATAAATAAATGAAAGATAAGACACTGAGAAAAAACCCAAGACTACTCTTGAATTCGGAGGAAGTGCCTCAAGTAAAACTGTGTACTTGAAAACTGTTGCATTAAATCGGAGCTCTTGGAGGCCAGCCTAAGCTACATAGTGAATCCCTGTCTACAAATGAATAATAAAACTGTATATGTATGTTACCAAATTTAGTTTTCTTTTTTTCTTTTTTTTTTTTTCTTTTGGTTTTTCGAGACAGGGTTTCTCTGGCTTTGGAGGCTGTCCTGGAACTCACTCTGTAGACCACGCTGGCCTCGAACTCACAGAGATCCACCTGCCTCTGCCTCCCAAGTGCTGGGATTAAAGGCGTGGGCCACCAACGCCCTGCCCCAAATTTAGTTTTCAAGTATGTTGTATTAGTAACTGTTTTGCTGTCCTTTTCCATCTTTTCTGTATACAGTGATGGATTTGTAGGAGGAAGTCTGTATTTGTAAAGAATATTTGGGTTTCATGAAATTTTACATGACGTGAGGTCTTAATATTTTTTCTAGGGTTTGGTGGTAATAGTAGTATGTGCGTGTTTTCATGAGCGTGTGCGTGTGTTACAGGAAGAGCAGGCGAGTACATATCGATACAGAGGTCAGAGGACAACTTTCAGGAGTCAGTTCTCTTTCCGTGGGTTTCACGAACAGAAGTCCGCTTCTCTTTCACCCACTGAGGCCGCTTGCTAGCCCACACAGCTTACTTTTTCAGAGGCAATTTAGCAACCTGTGTATTTTCTGTTTGGGGAGGAACTCAGAGCACAACTAACTCAGACATGATGGTACGCATCTTCAATCCAGCACTCAGGAGGCAGAGACCGGTGGAGCTCTGTGAGTTCAAAGCCAGCCAGGGACAGAGTTAGACCCTGTTTCAAAAGAAAACAAAAAGTTAAATTACTATTGCATATGTGGATCCTAGCTTTTAATTTGTGTGTGTGTGTGTGTGTGTGTGTGTGTGTGTATGTGTGTGTGACTGAGTATAAGTCATGAACCTAGAAAGGGGACCATGAAGGAGGAGAAAAGAGATTTTAAAGAAGTAGGAGCTGGGCTGGAGAGATAATTCAGTGGTTAAGAGCCCTCGTTGCTCTTCCAAAGAACCCTGGTTTCATTCCCAGCATACACATGGTAGCCCACAACTGTCTGTAACTCCAGTTCCAGGGGTATCTGACACCCTCTTTTGTCCTCTATGGACATCAGACATACAAGTAATGCCCAGACATACATTCAGGAAAATCACCCATAACATACATTGTTTTTTAAATTAAGGGGTAGAAGTAGAGGCATTAAATTGGAAGGTATATTTTTGGGGAGGTGGGACTTGCAGAAATAAATGAAGGAGGATGGTCAACCAAAACAAGGTATGTATGAAAATGCCATAGTGAAAGGTATGCATGAAAATGCCATAGTGAAAGGTATGTATGAAAATGCCATAGTGAAAGGAAGGGAGCCCAGTGCGTTGGCTCAGCTAGTAAGGATGTTTCCTGTGCTGGCCTCACTGAGTTTGACCCCAGAAGGATAGAGAAGAGACTCCGAAAAGTCACCCTCTGAATTCTACATATGCTAAGTGGCATGTGTGTGCCACGTGAGTAGGGTTTCCTTATTTCGTTCATTTTTTAGTTTTGGAGATTAAATATGAGGCAAGCTTCACCACTGAGCTTCAGCTCCTCCAACTACCAGATTTTCATGCAGAGACAGAAGTTTCACAAGATCATAAGCAAGCCAACAGTAGATTTGGAAAGAAAGGAAAAGTATATGTTTGGGGTTCATTTTGTTCCTTTATAAAATCCATAGAACATGTGAGGTGTGGATTTTATTGTACCTACCTAGTAGTGAGTTCTTAGGTTGGTCATGTGCCATAATATAATTGCATGCCAGAACTGCGTCAGTTTGAAACTCACTTGAGTTGATAGACACCTTCGTTTTCTTTAATTTTTTATTACATTTATTTGTGTACGGGCAAATGAGTATCATGGTAGAAGTGACAGAATAGCTTGCTATGGAGTTGGTGCTCTTCCTCTGTCCTGTGGGTACCAAGGATTGAAGTCAGATCAGTAGGCTTGGTGGCAAGTGCCTTCACCCACTGAGCAGACTCAAGACCTGTGCCTGTCTTGTAAACCAGGCACAGTGTCAAACCAGCCAAGCTAGTAGTATTGAGACCAACAGGCAACTGAGTGTTTTGCAGCTTTTCCATATCAGCTGACTGGTGTCCTTGGGCCTACCCATATCGAAATGGAGAGCAAGGGCTATCAAGATGCCCCAGTGAGTAAAGGGCCTGCCACTGAGTCTAATGAACCTGAGACAGACCCTCAGGATGCATATGGTTCTGAAAGGAGAGAACCAACTCCCTCAGCTTGTCCTCAGACCTTCACATGTATGTCCCAACCCACACAGAAAACAAATAAATAAATAAAATGTAGATAGAACGATGAGACAAGCGGGACATAGTGGTACACGCCTTGAATCCCGCACTTGGGAGGCAGAAACAAGAGGAACAAAGAATCCAGTGCAACCCTTGGCTAGACACCGCAAAGGTAGGAGAAGGGTCTAATGGCGTCATTTAGGGAGTCTGATTGCCCCAGCTGCCTACATTTTTAACTTATGTATTGGAAAAATAAAAACTAAAGGTAGTGGTTACAATAAAGGCCTGTGGGGCCTGCAGGATAGCTCAGTGGGTAAGGGAACTTGCCTTGAAGCCTGATAACCTGACTTTAATTCCCAGAACCCAAATGATAGAGTGAGAAAGCCAACTCCCATAAATTTTCTTCTGACATGCACTAATACACATCATGGTACATGCATGCCCACACACATACAAACTCAAAATAAATAAATGTAATAGAAACATATATAGGAGGGATACTGGAGAGATGGCTCAATAGATTAAGAGCACTGGTCATTCTTCCAGAGGACCCAGGTTCAATTTCTATCTATCTATCTATCTATCTATCTATCTATCTATCTATCTTTCTTTCTTTCTTTCTTTCTTTCTTTTTTTTTTTTTTTTTTTTTGAGACAGGGTTTCTCTGTGAAGCCTAGCTGTCCTGAAACTCACTGTGTAGACCAGACTGGGCCTTGAACTCATAGAGATCCGCCCGCCTCTGATTCTCAGCATGCTGGGATTAAAGGTGTGCTCACTACCCCCACCCAGCCGGGGTTCAATTTCTAATGCACTCACATGGTGGCTCGCAATTGTTATAATTCCAGATTCAGAGTCC